TTCCTTCTCCATCCTATGCATCCTAAATCTTGCCTCATCGCCTCATAATTGCCTTTCCCCCAGCTATAACTCTTGCCCTGCACTATATACCGATCCCTTTCCATCGCTGAAGTAAACGTAACCGAATTGTGGTCACTATCACCAAAGTGCTCACCTACCTCCAAATCTAACATCTGGCCTGGTTCATTACCCAGTACCCATAACCTCATTACCTGCAGAAATGTTGGCCTCTTGCACTACCCATGTTTATTCACTCCATCATTGCTGGCCATGCCTTCCGCTATGAAGCTTCAGAATTCCCTCCCTAAACCTCTCCATATTTCTCTCCTCCTTGGTTCCCCTTGGACTCTTTCTGTTCCCCTTGGTTGCAGGGTCAATCACGAGGGGCATAGTTTTAGGGTAAAGGGGCAGGAGATTCAGAGGGGATTTCGGAAAAATCTTAGTCTCCCAGCAGGCGGTAGGAATCTGGGATGCCCTGCCTGGGAAGATAGTGGTGGCTGGAAACCTTACAACCTTCAAAAAATATTTGCATGAGCACTTCAAATATCATAACATTCAAGAATATGGGATAAGTGCAGGAAATTGGGATTAATGCGCTTTGGTGATAGTTATTGTTGGAGAAGACTTGGTGGGTTAAGGGCATTTTCTGAGTTGTATAACTCTATGAATGCTTTCTCCTCTGCCTTGGGATGTTTTCCTACATCAAAGATGATATGTAAGTGCAGTTTTGTTGCATTTTCAAATGTTTATGCGTCGTACAGTACCAATGCTCCGCCTGTAATTTAAGCATAGTGCAACTACATCACAGATACAGTCTCAGACAATATTTATAAAGTATGGATTTAACTGGTTGATCGGAATTATACCACTCACTGTGCATCACCCACGGTCCACCATTAAGTTTAATGTTAAGGCTATACAGTGTGAGCACAGCCTTCTCCTCATCTTAAATACATGGGAAATAATTATTGATAGGTTCAAATCTCAGGGGGCGACAGGTTGTCTAACTCCACCAGATCTATCACCCTCCTTCTGACATGCTAATCTACACCTAATCTTATAGATTTTGGAAATACTTGCACCATTCAAAAAACAAACGGACATGTAAGTGTTCGAAAGGTTGAGCCTGACTTTTGCAAATATTTCAAACCCACCGGGAAATGTGAAAGGAGCAGGAGAAGCCCATTCGGCCTCTTGAGGTTGTTCTACCATTCAACTGGATCATGGCCAATCTGTCACTGAAATGTACGGGGGCATGAGGAAGTGGGATGAGCAATATTGCATTTGCAGAGAAGCCAGCATGCACACGGTGGGCTCAATGGCCTCCTCCTGGGATGTAACCAGTTTATAATTCTTACTTGTCTCAGTTCTTTCACATTTTACACCCTGCCCCAGCAAAGCACGTAGAAATGGAAAGGAAAAATGAACATTGCATTGGGAATGGACTTGCATTTACCATTGAGAAACTTGTCGATCTCACTTAGTGCTTACCGTGGATCCTTTCTCTCCAGGAGGTCCCAGAGGACCTGGATCACCACGATCACCCTGAATTAAACAAAAAACACAAATCACAGAGTCAAGCAATGCTCAACAGACAAAAGATCATTGCAAACAGTTAAAGTCTTTCCAAACTTTCACCAAACCAACATGAAATGGAAGAACATGAGGAACAGGAGCAGTAATAGGCCATTTGGCTCATCAAGCATGTTCGTCCATTCAAAAGCTGCCATTGTGCCAGAGGGAGTCATTACAGAGGGAGACGATTGGGGGTGAGTTTAACCTGAGGGTCACCATGTCTCAGGAAAGAGCTGAATTTGAGGCTGAGAACACGGGATTTTCACAGTAACCTCAGTCCGTGAGAGAATTGAACCCACAGTGTCAGCGTTTCTCTATATCACAAAAGTAAAGCCACCCATCCAAACGAGCCCTTCTGACAATCAAGTATGCCATTCAGCCCGTTGACCCTGCCCTACCATTTAATGAAACGATAGCTGATGGAACATTACAATAACTTTTACCCACTCTGACTCCATAACCTGGTACCCCAGGAGTAATCTGAAATCTAACAATCGCTACCTAAAACATCCTTGAACCTTCAGCTTCCACAGCCCTCTGGGGTAGAGGATGCTAAAGATCACAATCTCTTGCATTAAAAAAATTCTCTCATCTCGGGCCAAGCAGCATCTCTTATTTTTTAAACTGAGCCCCCTGGGTTTAGACAGCCCAACTAGAGGAGGCATCTTACCTGCATCTATTCTGTCTTTCAGTATTTTGTTAGTTTCAATGATATCACTTCTCATTCTTTGACACTCTAGAGAATACAGGTAGAGTTTGTCCAATCTCTCTCCATAGGACAAACCTGCATACAGTACACCAAGTGTGGTATAACCAAACTTCTATACATCTGAACAAAAACAAAGTTGCTGGAAAAGCTCAGCAGGTCTGGCCGCATCTGTGAAGGAAAAAACAGAGTTCTGAGGAAGGGTCACCGGACCCAAAATGTTAACTCTGTTTTTTTCCTTCACAGATGCTGCCAGACCTGCTGGGCTTTACCAGCAACTTTGTTTTTGTTCCTGATTTGCAGCATCCACAGTTCTTTTGGTTCTTATACAACTGAAGCAAGGCTTCCCTACTCCAGTACTCAATTCCTCCTGTGATAAAGGCTGACATTATTGGCTTTCCATTAACCTTCCTCAAGACACAAAAACTGTATGCAGTCCTATAAGTGTGGCCTCAGCAATACCCTGTGATGCCAGGTGTAATAAGACTTCTTTATTCTTAAAACATATTTTCCAATTTGGATCAGATTGAAAGATAAACTCTTCAGAAATTCTACATTGCAATAGTGACAACACTTCAAAGAAAGACTTCATTGGCTTTATAGCACTTTGGGACATACTGAAGCTGAGAAAGGTGCTGTATAAATGCAGGTTATTTTTGTTAACATGTGTTCTTAATATTGAGTTACTGTTGGTCTGTGTTCCTTCTATGATCACCATTATGACACTAAGCACGCAAATGTGTTTCCTGTAGACTTTGTCTGTTAATATTAATGACAGGTCACTGCAGTGAGGTAACCTTTCTCCTTCAGACAGGTCAAGCATTAAACACCTGGCCAAGTTATGGAGACGGTTAAGAATTTCAAACATGTCTGCCCAAGGCATATTTCCAATTCCAGAATAAATCTTTGTGCTACCTCATGACTGTGAGAATTAAACTTGGCTGTGTTTGCCTTAACTTGCACCAAATCCAGTTTATCCATCAGCTGGGAGCTCACTGATCTACCTGCATCGAGTGCTGCACTGCTGGGATTTAAAATTCTCCTCCTGATTTCAAATCCCACCATTGGTCTCATCACTTTGCTGCTTCCCTATCTCTGTAACTTCCTTCAACCCCACAGACCCACAAGATTTCTGCATTCCCCCAGTGCCAGCCTCTTGTGATTCCTCAATTTTCATCACCATTGAAGATCACACTTTCAGTCTGGAACTCGCTCCTGAAACCTCTTTGAATCCTTACCCTTCTTTCTCTCTTTGGCCAAGTCTTTGGTCAGCTGCCTCAATATCTAGGGCTGGTGTCAGATTTTGCTTGTTAGTCATTTATGTCTCGTGCCTTTGGAGATTTTATTGTGTTAATGGCTACATAAATATTAGTTTTCATCAGAACTTTGTTCTGAAGCAGATTTATACCAAACCCGAAGCATTGACTTAAGTGTCTCTCTCCACACATACTGCCAGACCTGCTGAGTTTCTCCAGCATTTTTTGTTTATTTCTGATTTCCAGCATTTTGTTTTTATATAAATATCAGTCATTGTTCTATTGCTATTGAAATAAATCAACTAACTGCACTATGTCTCACTGTTGGTCTCTCAGCAATGACCTGAGAAAGCAGATATAAACTTTTCAGTACCTTATACAGAAACAGCCTGCAGCAATAGTATCAGAGGCCAGCTTTTATTGGAGGGATGTGTTGCAGGATGGGTAGGAAGGAGAAGGAGATTGCAAGATGGGTGGAGAGACACAGGGAGGCTTCAATGGGACTGGGAGGGAGACGGCAAGGGTGCTGAGGGCAGGCTTCAAGGGAGTTGGGAGAGTGAAGGAAACGGCAAGAGAGTGGAAAACAGAGAGGGGGAGGTTGCAATTGAGGAGAGAGAGGTAGGGAGGATGCAATGGGGCTGGGGGAGAGGCAGAGAGAGGAAGCAAAGTTGTTGAGGGGGGTGAGGATGCAAGTTTATGGGGGAAATAGAGAAGTTTCAGGGATTGGGGAACTGAGAGAGGTGCTTCGAAGAAGGAAGAGTGTCAACAGAAGTAAAAGAAAACTGTTAAATTATGATGGCAATCAATTCTTTGCAAATGAATGTGGAATCTCCAGCTTAAGGCTGCACACTTTCTGGGGAACATGAAATGAATATTATTATAATGAACGATGATAATTGTTAAATTTAAGTTTGGAATTGAGATGTGAGGTGCAGTTAAAAGAAAAGCAGTAACTACCTGGTCAAAATCTTTCAAATGTGCCCGCGTCTAGTCTGTGGACAGTGTTTTGGGTGATGGCTTTACAAATAATGGATAAAGATGCAAATAGCAAGTGATTTTTCTAAATCTGTATAAAACAGTTTGACACCACTGGGACTGGTTCCCAGTTTGGAGGACCCCAAAGGATGTAAACGGGAAGGTTTAATAAGGGGGTGGGGAGAGTAGGTGTCATTGGAACAGAAAAATCACATGATTTTTCTCCCTGACCCTGATCCTGTTTAGAGTGGGATGAGGCCAGGATGTCTAATTAATGCCAGACTTGATACAATAAAGTTAAATTCACTATGGTCTTCCCAGATCATACAGCTGCTCTCTCATTAGAAAGAGAGAGAGAGAGAGACAGCTGGTAGTGGTTTCACCTGAGGGTCACCACTCTCCATCACAGTAACCTGAGCCAGAGTGGGAACAGAACTCATGGTGTTGGTATCACTCTGCATTGAAAACCAGTTATCCAGCGAACTGACCTGCTACAGTAATGTCTAGCCCAAAGTTGTGTCACAAACCTCATCCCTGGGATAGCAGGAAACAGCTGGAAACATCTTCAGATGTTGGAAACAAAAACAAACTTCTTTTCACAGTGGAATCGGAATGGTTTCAGTTGAAGGGAAATGTCACGTTAGGATTTACCTTTTCACCAAGTATTCCTGTGGGGCCTCTCGGACCAGGCAAGCCAACAGGACCCTGGAAAGAGACAAAAATAGGACAACATTACATTGCAAAGAGCTTTTGCTGATCCTTTCAAAATCATTACCTAGGGGCAAGAGGAGGCCATTCATCCCCTTTAACCTGCTCTACTGTTCACCGAGATCATGATTTGCAACCACACAAGCCTTGCTTCCATATCCCTGAATCTCCTTGTCCAATGAAAACTGGTCACTGGCCCCACTCCTGCTTCTACAGGGTACACATGGGTCTCTATCTAGATTTACTGGACCAAAAACTCAGCAGCTCAGCAGCATTTTCTGAAGAAGGGTCTAGGCCCGAAACGTCAGCTTTCCTGCTCCTCTGATGCTGCTTGGCCTGCTGTGTTCATCCAGCTCAACACCCTGTTATCTCAGCTATTCCCTGGAGCAGTCTGATATTTAAACTTGCAGCATCAACTCTCCCTTGACCTCCAGAAACATGAAAAGCAAATTCTGGCCATTTTTGTGGTGTGGATGCATCCTCAGTGAATCGGAATCTGGGAATGAGCAACTTAGTCATCAGAAAACACATTATTGTCAGATTGTTCTGAGTACAAATCAAATCAAGATAAAGTGGCAAGAGGCCAGTGCTTTAACCCGAATGAGATACATTTTAGAAAACATTACTCATGGCTTGCCAAACCGAAGGAAAACGAAAACCACATTGCCTGCATAAGCTTTTTGTTATAGTTTAAATCCACAAAAGATTTCAAGGAATCTCTTTAAGAGTGTGCTAGCCTTTCTGGATGACATCAAATATGATACATCTCTGTACGAGATAATTAGAAAGGTCTGTACATAACGTGGGGTTTTTACACCTGCATATCATAAGAAGCCAAATTCTTTGGCTTCCTAAAGATAGCTCCAATGAAAGTTTAAAGTATCATTGTGGTTTTAACCCTTTGACTCCAGAACTAAACCAATCAGTGAAGCCAATTTATTTCATTCATTCATAGAACATGCCTGGGACAGCATTTACTGTCCATCCCTGATCGTTCGAGGGAAGTTAAGGGTCACCCACATTACTGTGGGTCTGGAGTCCCATGTAGGCCAGACCAGGTAGGAACGACAGTTTCACTCCCTAAAGGACATTAGTGAACCAGATGGGATTCCCCCCAGACAATTGACAATAGTTCCAGTGTCTGTATTAGACTCTTAATTCCAGATTGCATAGAAACATAAAAACATGGAAGATAGGAGCAGGAATAGGCTGTTCGGCCCCTTGAGACTGCTCCACCATTCAATATGATCATGACTGATCATTGAGCTCAGTACCTTAATCCCACATAACCTCTAATCCCTGATCCCGCCCAGCATATCCTTTGATTCCCTTTCGTCACAAGAGCTATACCTGCCTCCTTCTTGAAAACACACAACATTGTGGCCTCAACCGCTTTCTGTGGCAGTGAGTTCCACAGGCTCACCACTCTCTGGGTGAAGATATTTCTCCTCATCTTAGTCCTAAAAGTTTACCTCTTATCCTTAAATGAAGATCTTTGGTTCTGGACTCCCCCACCATCAGGAACATCTTTTCTGTATCTATCCTGTCTAGTCCTGTTAGAATTTTATAGATTTCTATGAGATCCCTCTTCATTCTTCTAAACTCCAGTGAATACAATCTTAACCAACTCAATCTCTCCTCATACGTTAGTCCTACCACCCAAGGAATCAATTAGATAAACCTTCGCTGCACTCCCTCTGCAGCAAGAATATCCTTCCTCCGATAAAGAGACCAAAACTGCACACAGTATTCCAGTGTAGCCTCACTGGTGCCCTGTATTATTCATAATGTGGAGGTGCCGGTGTTGAACTGGGGTGGACAAAGTTAGAAGTCACACAAGACCAGGTTTTAGCCCAACAGGTTCATTTGAAATCACAAGCTTTCAGAGCGCTGCTCCTTCATCCGGTTTAATTCTTTCATTAAATTCAAATTTCACCAGCGATAATGACAGGATTTGAACTCAGGTCCCCAGAACATTAGCAAGGTCCTTGGGTTAATAATTTTTAATCCTTTCACAGGATGAGGGCATCAGTAACCAGGCAGCATTTATTGCCCAGAGGCCAGGTAACGGTCAAGCACATTGCTGTAAGTCCGGAGGCCAGGCCAGGTAAGGATGGCAGATTCCTTCCCTAAAGGACATTAGTGAATCAGATGGGTCTTTCCCCCAACAATTGGGGATGGATTCATGGTCATCATTAGACTCTTAATTCCAAATATTTATTGATTTCAAATTCCACCATCTGCTGTGGTGGGATTTGAACCCATGTTGCCCAGGACATTACCTGGGTCTCTGGATTAAAAGTCCAGCAATAATACCACTAGGCCTTTGCCTTCCCTCAAAAAGCTTATAGTCTAGTGTTAATACCTTACTGCCACAGTTTTGGCTCATGTGTTCTGCTAAAATCACAAAGGTTACAGCACAAATATACCCATGGACTTGACCTGTGTTTGCTGGTCACAGAATTAGATTTGTTACAGCACAGAACAGGCCATTTGGGCTATTGTGCCTGCTCCAGCTCTCTAAACGATCATCATTACCTAATGTCAATCACCTGCTTTATCCCCTAAGCTTTGTGCATTATTTTTATTCAAATATGTTGGAGTATTCTCTCGGGCTGAGTATTGTCCTCCAGCCTAGCATCAAATCTACAAGAGCTGCTTGGGCAAGAGCAATGTATTATCATTCAGTTGTAACCAATGGGATTTTTGCTGTGGTTTTTTTTTTCTCTGTTTTACAAAGCACCACATGCTAAAACTACAATATAAGGAGGGACCGAAATGGCCAATCCAAAAGTGTATAAAATTCTGACATGCAACAGGAAACTGCTCCCAGAGGAAATGTCCATGATGACTTTAACCACTTCAAAGTGGATTTGCAAAACAACTGACTCTGGGGAACATTTTAAAATGCACAAATGGGAGAGACCAGGAGCCGTGAGCATAACAGAGCCGGTGATAAACCCAGAAGGGAATTCAGGAAAAACCTCTTTCCAACTGAGAATGATCAGAGTGCAGCTCTCACTACCACGAGGAATAATTAAGGGGACTTGCAGAGATATGTGTCAGGAGAATTTAGGTAACAGCACAAGGGAGAAAAGAATTGAAGCATATGGTGTTAGGGTGAGACAACGAGGGTTAACATGACACTCACATGTACCACAAACACTGGCCTGGATCAGCTGGGCCGAACGGCCTGTTTTGTTGTGATGTAACAGGTGTTACAGAAATAGACCATGTGGTGCAAATCATCCATGTGTTTGCAGGAATCATGAAAAGTTAGCATCCAAATTCAGCTGGTAATAGGGAAGACAAATGTAGTGTTGGCTTTAGTTCAAAGGGAATGAAGTATAAAAGTTGGGAGATTTTGCTAAAACTAAACAAGGCACTGGTCAGACCACAGCTGGAAAACCATGAACAGTTTTGGCAACCCTTATCTAAAGACAGATATACAGACATTGGAGACAGTCCAGAGAGGTTTCACTGTCTTATGAGGAGAGGGTGAGTGAATTGGGCACATACTCACTAGAGTTTCAAAGAATGAGAGGTGACCTTACGAAACATAAAAGATTTTAGGGGACTTGACAAGGTTGATGCGAGATGTTGTTTCTCCTTGTGGGAGAGTCCAGGGCCAGATGGCATCATCTCAGAGTAAGGGGTCACACATTTCAGACAGAGATGAGGAGGAATTTCCTCTCTCGGATGGTAGTGAATTTGTGGAATTATTTACCACAGAAGGCTGTAAGGGCTGGGTTGTTAAGTATATTCAAGGCTGAGACAGACAGGATTTTAATCAGCGAGGGAATTAAGGGTTATGGGGAAAAGGTAGGAAAGTGGAGTTGGGAGATGATCATTGAATGGCAGAGCAGACTCACTTACTTCAACTCTTTTGTCCTGTGATATTCATACATATCATCTCTTAATTTACTGGTAGAAAATGTTTGACCATCCCTTTGCATTTTTTTAAAACATTAATAATGTCAGCAGCAGGACCTGAGTATTTGCTGAAAACACAGAGCTGTTACTGAACAATCCAAGAGTGCTTGTAGCTACATTACCAACAAAGAAATATAATCACTTGCGCCTGAAATGTGGCTCATTTGCACTTAATAGAAGTGACAATACATTCTTCTAAAACAAAAAGAATATGTTCAGGCATCAGGTTTTTTTTTAAAGAGCCAGGAGATGGCAAAGGGGAGCTTATAGTCCCTTGTTGCCTTCTCAATGACAACACCTTGACCCATTGGAATCAACATGTCAACCAATTAGTCTTCTTTCCTCCTGCAGTATAAATTGTTCTGATTGTTTGCATCTTGGCATTCTTGCACTCGTCCTGATGAATGCAAGACAGAAACTTAGGCAGCAAAGGTTCTAACATTAATAATGCAATTGACAGACAGACACTTGTGTACCCTCACCTGCACATGGACACAGCAACATGTCCAAGACAACTCATTTCACACTCAATGTCATCATTTGAACGGAACCTACGGAAAAACTGGTTCCACAAGTCCCAAAGGGTTCATCGAAAGGACTATCATCACTTCTGATATGGAACATAACATTCCAAAAGTCAATCTGATGCCAGATCTAAGAACACATCTCCTGTTTGGAGTTTAAAATCAAATGAATGTAGGCAAGGACCAAACATACCTGTACTCCAATCTTCCCAATGTTTCCCAAATCTCCTTGTTCTCCCTATATGATCCGAGGAAGGATGCAAAATATTTATTATTAGTGATGGAAATACATTGCGCATGCTTTGAAAGGAATAATTCTTTCCAGTTGTAGATGGAACAGCAATGGTTTTATGACCGCCAGAGAACCATAGCAATGGGTGTCCAGTGTTAAAAGGATTCTTGCATTGAAAGAACATAACAATTACCTTAATGCCGTCTAATCCAAGCACTCCAGGGTATCCTTTCCGACCTGGTCTTCCCTAGAACAAATTGATTTATTGTACACCAGAAGTAAACAAGACTTCCAACAGCCAAAAACAATTACATCTAATTTACAGCATAGCAACAGAGGCCATTCAGCCCTCAAATATGTACTGCCATTCAATACATTTTAATTCTATCTATCCACCCTGGCTGAGTATCCCTTAGTCTCTGATATTATCAAAATTCGAACAATCTTCAATTTCAATTATTAACCTGTCAACTGCAGCGGTTCAAGAAGGCAACTAAATTGCCCATTGTGTCCAGGGATGTGCAGGCTAGGTGGGTTAACCATGGGAGGTTTAGGGTTGCAGCGATAGGGTAGAGGGGTGGGTCTGGGTAGGATGTTCTTTGCAGGGTCAGTGTGGACTCAATGGGCCAAATGGCCAACTTCAGCACTGTAAGGATTCTATGATTCACTCATGGGACATGGGCATTACTGGCTGGCCAGCATTTGTTGCCTGTCCCTAACTGCATTTGAACCAAGCAGCTTGCTAGGCCACTTAAGGGGGCAGTTGAGAGTCGACCACATTGCTGTGGGTCTGGAGTCATGTGTAGGCCAGACCAGGTAAGGATGGCAGATTTCCTTCCCTAAAGGACATTAGTGAGCCAGTTGGGTTTTTCCAACAATTGCAATGGTTTCATGGACATCAGTAGATTCTTAATTTTGGAGATTTTTTATTGAAATCAAACTCCACCACCTGCCATGGCGTGATTCATATCCAGATCCCCAGAACATGAGCTGAGTTTCTGGATTTAATGTTTGGCAGATAACAACACTGGGCCATCTCCTCCCCCAGTCCAAATTCTACAGCTTTGGCATCCTGAAAATGAATGACATGTTCTATATTTTTCTCACCAACCTGCTCAGAGATGTTACCACAGCCGTGCGGAGGAGGTGGGACATAAACAGCAGAGCAAACTCAATGGGCTGAATGGCCTATTCCAGCTCCTAGTTTCTGTATTTCTTCACATCCTAGAAGCTGGGACTCCTAGCTTAGAGGATAGGACAATATTACTGTCCCAGAAGGGCCCTGATAAATAGGATATTGTATATTAAAGGGCCCACATGAATTAAAGGTTATTTCCTGAATGAGATGTTAAAATTTAAAACAAAATTTTCATTTAACCTATTTTCCTAACCTACCTGTTCAGAGGTGTGTAACCTCTGGAGCAGGTGGGACTTGAACCCAGATCTCTTGGTTGAAGGGTAGGGTCCTACCACTATACCACAAGAGCCCCCTAACAAGAGTTTTTTTCAAATTTAACCTATTTTCCTAACCAAGCTGTTCAGAGATGTTATTCTACACCGCTGGAGCAGGTAAGACTTGAACCCAGGTTGCCCTGGTCCAGGGGGTAGGGGCACTACCTCTGTGCCACAAGAAGTCCTAACAAGAGGTTAAAAATAAAGCAAGGATATGCAATCTTTGCCATCCAATTGGATGTCAATTAAAACTGACATCTTAATTTTTATTCCCAATGAAGCAGAACACCATGCTTCACTGCAAACCTCACTGTTGATACTGTGCAATCAGTTTTAACTCAGCTGATTGGCTTGGCACCATTTACTGCATGCCATTCCTGTCAGCAACCTGGCAAATGTGCCCGTGTGTGTAGGTTATGTATGGCAAAGAAATCTCGCCAATAATGTCAACCAGGGGCCAGGCATTCGCCAAGTAAGAGCACTTTGAACACTTCTCCATGACCTTTGCAACAGCTTCTGCAAATTCATTGCAGCTAAAATCTCCTGACACATGTTTCAGGAAGCTGCAAACTTCAATGAAAGTTCTGTACATCTCTGATTCATTAAGTGGCTTCCCTGCTAAATGTAAGAAGCAAAATCCAAAGAGGAAGTGGGTCTTTTCACATGTGATTGATTGCACATGAATCCAATGCAAAACAAAAATCAGTGCGCAATGTGATGTATTTTTCCTGAGAGAGATTTTAATCGGGGGATTTATAACGCAGGATGCTTAGCTAGGTCTTAGTGACAATCACAAAGTGACACTGTGGGGCATTAGCTTACTGTTTTGGAGAAATATTGCGATTGTAAGGTTTGAATCTTACCAGTGGTCCCTGACTTCCTGGAGGACCCATTGGGCCTTCATCCCCCTGGAGAATAAGGATAAGTTTTCAAATATGTTAGGGATTATAATGTCTGCAATCACAAATATACACAGCAGACTTTACAATAGAATGGACTAGCAAACAAATCCTGCTGGAATGGCAAGTTTGCAAATGATAATACACAAATTCGCCCCTGAATGTGGGTGTTAATTTGATCCCAAGTCACATGGTGATCTATGAAGTCCATTTCCTGATAATAGGCACATTTACAGAATGCAGGATTATGTATCATTCACCTGTTACTGCTTGTTCCAGCAGCATCTCTTTGGAAATGTTCGAGACACTTAATTCAACAATGTCCTTGCCCTGTCTCAACAATATAATTAACATAATTGGGATAAGAGAGAAGATTGACATTCTAAATTCCAGAGTTTGCTAGTCCATTTTGTTTTTACTTTACCTGTTTTCCCCTAATCAACCTGTTCAGGGATGTTATCACACATCTCCGGAGCAGGTGGGACTTGAACCCAGCCACTTGGTCCAGGGGTTGGGACACGATCACTGCACCATAAGAGGGCTAAGCTGGCCTATTTAAACCACCAGCTTTACATGTGCAGCCTGTTGCTCTTAGACTACTTGTTAACTTTAAATACTTGCTCGACTTACACATTAATTATTTAATACTCAAGCTGCAGAAAATCCATGTTGCTGATTGTAAACAAATGCTCTTTCAGCTCTGGACAATAAACATTGAATATAATATCAATTAGCTTCTCTGCCAAAATGGGAACAATTTTAACCTTAATGTCTCATTTTGACAGATAGCAAATTGTTGATTGAGGGAGCGCCGCACTGTCGGAGGGTCAGTACTGAGGGAGTGCCGCACTGTC